AAACGTCCATTATATATATATATATAGATTTCCGCCACTCCTTGCATCTACTTTATTCTATGTTTTTCTGTCACACTGAATTGAGAATGAAATAAGGTAGTGATATTAAACTGCTTCGATTTTCCTAAACAGTACACTGGTTGTTCAGGCTTCTCCTAAACCGAACTCACTATCATACCTGTAGAATTTGAATACGTCTGTCCGTTAATTGAAGATTGGTATACTCTTTTCTTATTTTATGTTATATGGAAGCATTTCGCCTATGGGATACCTAGCATTGTTGAATAACGTATACTTTCTAGCTCGGATGATTGGACTATAAGAGAGGTGTTTTTTTCAAGTCTACAAAATGTTTTGAATAGACTTTTGTTGAATAGCGTCTCAACTCTGTGAAATTCAACGTTTCTTCCAGTGCCGAAAGTAATCAAAACCGGATTCGCATTTCCCTTATCCTAACAATTCACCAAAAATTTTAGTTTAGTTGAAAAACGGACTTTTTACATATCGTGCTCACTCTTAGTGCGAACGTGCCATACGCATCAGTCCACAGGCCACCACAATGGGAATAATAATAGCAACTCTGGTGAGATCTTTCTTGATCTGTTTGTCTAGGTCGACAATTAGCTTACAACCGTTCCGTTACTGATCGACCAGAGGTCATCGAACACCGATGAAATAATTTGTTGGTCCATCACACTTAGAATAATAATTTATGTTGGCGACAGGCCCATCTAATGTCCTGTCGTTTACGGTGTTCTGATCCGTATTAATCAACTTTGAACTTTATTCCTTCGACGTTGTGGCTGCTAACCTTGCGTTTCCGTCTTACTGAACTTTGGTATACAAACACACTAGTGGACGTACGGGAGTTTGCAACCACTCAAAAATCATGTCAAACGAATCCTGTTGGAAGAAAGCGTCATTGGCCATCCAGGCCTGTAAAATGTATTGCAAATGCCTTGAACAATAACAAAACCTGATGTTATCATTAGTATGCTAGTAGTCTCATCTTTACCCAGTTTTTCCACTGATCCAGCATACATGATTGCTATGTGCGCAGATCCAGTAAATAATTTTACGTTTTTTTTTACCCCGAATTGTCTGTGTGGTGAGACGCTTGTCACAACTACACCGCTTAAGGCTTCAGTAGAGTGACCCGTTGTTGGTGTCTATTCAAAAAGCCGTGGCACAAATCTCGTCACTTCACAGTGATATACACCCAGAAAGCGTCTTTCGTACAATGTTGGTGGTCACTGTTCTTGCCCTCACTATTCGATCAACAGAGACTTCACTGTAAATGTGTAGAATTTAAAAATTCTCTCACTTCACAAAGGAACTCAGTCAATCATTGAATTGGGGTGATAATGGGTACTTGCTCACTGATACTGAAAAACAGCAACCGAAAAACGCCTTCGGCCAGGTAGCAGGAATTCCTAGGTGCCTTTCAAACCCAATGACCTTCAAGAGTGAAGCCTGGAGCCCAAAGTTTTATGGCTTTAGGGAGACTGCCATAGAAATCAAAATTTTCCGTGTTCTGAATTAGTTTTCATTTTAAACTAGGAAGCAGTGGTAGTAGATTGTGATGTTTTGTGGGTAAAAAAATACTTCTCATTTACAAAAGCGTTCGGTGGCGCCATTACAAAATAGTAATTTTATAAATTGAGGTCATGAAAGCACATAGTATACAGAAATAAGTTGGTGCTTGATGCATTTGTTGTTCTTCTCGATGAGAAAGGGAAGCGACGAAATCGAGGCACTTGTGTGAAAATTAGTTGCGCTAATCACGAGCGCTTTTGCAATAGAAAAGAAAACGGAATCAACGGTTTTGTTTGGCAGCCGTCTGGAAATTTGCGTAGATGGCATTTCGTACCGTATTTACTGCACGGTATTCACTAAATGGCCGCTGATCCCCAAAGTACTTCGGCGTATTTTTTTCGAAGGGCTCGCTCCAGTTGAGCAGCATGGTTGATATCACGCGTTTCACACACAACTCTCAACTGTACATTAAATATACTGGATTTTAGCCAGGCTCGTTCGTGGAATATGTCTTTGATGCTGTTGAAAACATGAAGAGGTATATTGCAGGGGTTTCGTGAGTTCCTCAGGAATAAGCAAGCCAATAAGCAAATAGGAGAAACTGACAACAAAATAGATATGCGTTACTATTCAAGTGGCGTCCAAAGCACCAGTTGACGAAAATAAATTTCCACCGACAACCGGAAGTTACTTAAACTTAATAATGGCCATTTCAGGAAATAACTCATAAATGGAAAACGGCAGCGCAATTTTACAACATACTCCAGATTTTTCATTGCATTCTATCAGGTGCACAGTTGTTTGTGAAATAAACCCTTTACAAAAATGCGACCAAATTTGGAGTTCCAAAAAGCGCATGGATTTCATCATCTTAGCCGTTCGCTAACGGGCCACAAATGAAGCATACTTTTAGGTAGACCCCATGGGTGATACGTAAAAACTGTCGCCAATTTTCAGAGTGCATTGAATTGACGGGCCTGGCGTTACATTTCGCACGGTCTTCCCAATGTCTGCTTCTACACTCTCCGAGGTACGACGTCTCTGTGATATCTGTCCGCAAGTCCTCATATAATGCCCAGTTTTGAGAGTCTACCTACAGTGTAGTTTGAAATGTTGAACGTTTTCAACGATTGTCTGGCTTTCAAATCGAGTGAATGTTCTGCAATCCAGATTGTTTATGGGTTTCACAAATGTCTCTCCGGAAACACGTCATGACATGTGCAACATTCTATAGCATGGAGACGGTTGTTTTCGTTACTGGCGGAAATGAACCGTGAAAATGAGGTCAGAATGATTTGGGTGTGGTATTTGATATGACCAATTGTTGGTTCAGTTAGATAATCGGACTACCGGAGAACAGCTATCTAGAATAGCTACCTATCTGGCTGGCTTTATAATTGTCCGGTCATGTGCTTGGAATTCAACGTGTTGTTTGCTGTAAACAAGCGGCTCGATGTCGAAAAGCCACAAGAGGCCTTCTACCTTTCTTACATCCGTAAGAGGTGTGGCCGCACAGTAGGTAAATAATCAAGATTGTGGTTACGTATGTAGTAATAAATCTATCGGGCACCAGGCATTCTCTTACATGTCGGCTGTTCTTGTTCGGATATTTATTTGGTACCCTAATTATCACGACAATCGCCTTCCTGTCCACTATCCATGAATGTGTAACTCCGCACGTCCCACCAATTTGACAGCCCACACTCTCCGTCGGAGTAACAAGCAGATCAGTGAAGCTTTGGAATAATGGGTTTAAAGCAGTGGAACGATTGTAGATAATGTCAACCTACTATTCTCCGTTGTTTTGTTTGTGGATTTGAGTGCGTTTGGATTTGAATACAACAGAGATCCACGAAACAAGCTTTCAATCATTAGTTGCCTTCGTGAAGAAATAGACTAAGTCTCTCAAGACTCCGCTGGAAACACCTCAGTGCAGTGACTTTTGCTCGTAGATTCCCTCGGCAAAAGTGACTGATCGGTTGCCCTGTAGTCTTACTGAGTAACAGAGAAGAGATGATGGAGGTAAGAGAGATGCAGCGGATACTACCAGTGAGAACTGATCAAGCCAATGAATCGAACTTAGGAGCTTTGCATGTGAAGGGGGCCTTATCTTCGAATATTCTACAAATGCGTCATCTAAGATCTCACAGTAGGAGGTGCATAGTAAATACACTGCATCCTGAAACATTCACACATAACGGTCCAGTTTAATCAGTTAAAGTTCCAAGTACCCGACCGAAGTCAATTTTGGGTGCTACAGTGGTTTACTTGACAAAAGACCCTACATCTTTCCAAAAAATTCAGACTTTTGGAAAGCAAAGTACTTAATGCGGTTAATGATACACAAGTGCCCCTCCTTGAGTAAAACGAGGGACGCGATGGTGAAGTGAGACAGGAAAATTACCTGACTCCAAGATCACGTAGCATGCAACACATTTCGGCAATTCCTCCGGGTCTATCTGATACGACCACAAGGAAACGGCATAAGCGACCTTCCAATGTTAAGCCCCGATCAATCACACGACCAAGTACGGTTGTGTCGATATTGCCTCCCGATATTATGGGGACCACACTGGAAAGAAAAACAGAACACTGTCAGTCTACTTTCTATAATAATGCAAAACTAACGGGTATATAAATGTCCTTCGGACCAGGCTCTGTCTAATACCAGTCAGTCTGGATGTAACTCTCCGGTAAAGCATGACCTAAACTGCATGCTGTTAAGAACCAGATATTGCATCTCATTCGTATGGAGATACACGAATAAAACGAAGTCATGGAAATTCCAAAAGAACACACTTGCACTATGAAGAAATACGTACAATTTGAACTGAATTCTAAACTCCTTAGAATTTGATGATGCCAAGCTTAACGCCAAGTGAAGCTACCAATGGAATTGTGCTCAATGACTTCAGCCCTGAGCATGCAACGATACACACAGGAAAAGTTTCTTTTGACTGAAAGTAGAATTTGTATGGGATACAGCAAGCTCAGATGACCTTTGTAGTAAAAGAGACCTAGGGGCACAAAGATGTGCACAGTCAAGCGCTGTGTGAGTAGACGCAAGCACTGGCGTACAGAATGTCAAATTGGTCAAATCCAATACAATTTCATCAAGTGGTACGGTGGAGAATACTCTATATTTTCGTTGTTTGACAGGAGATAAAGCCATGTACATGTGCTCACCCAGTGAGCTAGGTCCACAGAACACCGTGGGAGTAACAACAATGTCATCCCATAAGTGTGGCTTTGCTTCGTCCACAATGCTACCGGTGATGACAGACGTTACTCAAAATCCAGGTCACGAACTATTAAATCCCATGGAGGGTGATGTACGGAACTGCACAAAAGAACCATTTGAAATTATAAGAGGGCACGTACGGAGACTTACGTTTTACCCTCCAGCTCTGGAAGATAACCCGCCAAAATCGCTGCAAGTGCTGTGGCCCCCGCACCTTCGGCAACGCATTTTTCCACCTCGAGTAATCGTATAATCGCTCTGTGAATGTGTGACTCTTCCACTGTGATCATCTTGTCCACCAGACCCAGGCAGGTATGCAGAGAGTTGACGCCTACCAAGGGGACAGCCAAGCCTGCAAAGGGGGTGATGTGGAACTGTTTGAGTCAGTTTATCCAGTTTGACTTTTTGGACTGATCATAATCCAGACCATAAGTCAGGGGTTTGCAGCATTTAAGATGTCAGCTCGGTTCCGTAGTTTTCCAACGGAAACCTCCTCTGACTGCATGATTAGAACGGTCTCCATCAAATAACCTGTTATATGGACTTAACAGGCCTATGTCAATAAATTGACTAGAAATGATCCGCACCCACTAGTTAAGCAAAACCAACATCTCATGGTACGCTTAACTTTGCTCGGCTGTCTCTTATTGTGGTAACTACAGCCAAAACCTGAGACCCATGAATGCGAATTGGCAACAACAGCGTAAGAATCCCTGACGCATAAACACAGCTGTTAATAGGCTTTGTGCAGAAAGTACGCTGTCAACGCAAGCAAGCGAGACAGCAGTTTTGGACTCCCGAAATTTTCCATTCCCTGCTAAGGATCGCGGTTTTGCACTTCCAACTGCAACATAAATCGATACATACAAACATCTCGACTGTATCCTACGCAGCGTTTCACTATAGTGCCGAAGTGCCACAAAAGAGCCGCTGAGCTGGCTAGATGACTCATTCAACATTTCTGTTACAAAGAGGCAGAAGAAATGTGCGCCTTATGGCAATATTCCGCCCATGCTGTCGCTAAGAATGTATGTCAGGTGTCAAAGTAAACTTGGTCGTCCCTGGGTTGGGTTCCTAGGACAGACCAGGTCCGCTGTATACTTACTACTCGTAGAAGCTCCAAGTCTTGATAATTATTGGGTCCTCCTGAAAGATCGTGGAAAAATAACAACAATTCTGGCTAGTTACTAGCGCTTAGACTCCAAACGAGTTGTGACTCATATGCCGAACCTAGCAATTACCAACTTAGCCTATGACCAATTTGGTTTGCTTGAGTCAGCCAAAAGATACTTGACTGGAATTCGCGCCAAAGAAGCGCGCCGAATCATTTAATTAGTAGCTTTTAGGGCAAGCAGTTTACGCCATACTGAATGGTTTGTGATGCTGGTATAAACTATTAGATTTTCCCAACCAATATTCAAAACAACAATTTCTTGGGGAGCTCCGAATTAAACCAAATGCATCAGAAGAACTTCAGCAGGTATTTTACACGTGCAACTGATAATTCGACAGAAAAATATCGGTCCGCAGTGACGAAGGAAAGTCCACGATCATCCACGTAGGGCGGTCGTCCGACCAACATCGGGTTCGTATGGCAAACACAGGCTTCTGTGAAGCCTGTTTTGACATTTCATCACATGTTTTCGGATACGTCAAGCAGTATCTGTTCCTGTTACTTCACTGTGGAGACCAGCACAAGCGTGAGGTACGAATGGGGGCTACCTAGATGAAATACCGATTTTGTCACACGATGATGGTAAGGCTTGTGACTCAGTTTGACGCAAAACTGTCCTGCATTTTACTAGTCAATTAGACAATCGAGATAGACAAAACGGAATCAGAAAGATCGTCAACACAGCTTTGCGGTCTTCTGTTTTGGCATCTCCAACAAAATCAGAGAAGGTTAAACGAAGATCCCCCAGTCAAAGTGATTGCATTAGAAGCTCAGAAACAGATCACAATCCCCTAGATGCTCTTGCCACTTGACGAGTTACGGTCGCTGCTTGGTTTTCATACCCTCAGCGAACGAAACTGTAGAAGTTGGAACCATTGCAGCTCAGTGCAAGGTTTTTGGCTCACAGAATTGCCGACCAACTTAGTGACTAGTCGCGGCATGAATAACCACAGCGGATGGTGGAGCCTGATCATTAGGCGACATCACACGGTCAACCTAATTACACTCCGACCTGTTTATCGACTGACTAACGGATAACCCTTTGACACCAGCAACCACACCGTGGACATCCATGTGCAACATTTGATACCATTTGCATGTTTAATCGTCTATAGCTCATTGTTGGTAGGTCAAAATACAAAAATAATCCCACCTCTTATTCTCTTTGTAAGATATTTTGACATTCGACTTTTATCAGCGAACCGGTACAATATGTCTAATAGAAGGGCAAACTGAGTCAGTTTTCGTGGACAACATTGCTACTACCCCCACGTAATCTATGTCCAGTCGATAATTGATGTCTGCAAATTCACACGAACCCTCAGCGTGAAAACTGGAGACTAAGAGTTCCATTTTTTGCCTATTTACAAGCTCTTCGGAACGAGCTGCAGCAGTCATGAACTTAAGTCACTTTGTTCACACTCAAGAAGTTAGGGTGTGATTTGAAAAAGCTTCACGTAAACTAGTCATCAAACTGTATGATCTGGATAACCTGCGATACCCACGGAGTCTCTGGCCAGAAGTTTTTGTCAGATTACTGCTACACGTCTTCCAATGGATTATAAACCCATAAACTAATTTTAAACCAGATTTCGTTCTCCGAAAATAAGGAAACAGATAATCCTTAGGCCCCGTATCACAGATGAAGGGATAGTGACCTTCGCAAGGATGAGAAATCGCATTTTTTCGTACAGGTGCCAAGAGATAAAAGAGCAAACTGCGAGTGCTATACGATAACAATTACCGTCGTATGAACAAACTTAGGTTAAAACTGATGTGAACTCGTTCTATTAACTGATCCAACCAGCTTATCCGTTACTCATAGTTTCCTGTCTGTTTAGCATCAGCTGGCAACCGTGTCGTAAAAGAGACCGAAAACAGGGCCAAACGAGCGTAAGGCGACCAACAGGTCATGAGATGGAGAATATTTCTCTTTTGTCGGAATGCAAGCTAAAGTAACATACCTGGTCGTAAAGGGCCCGTATTAAGCGCACGCTACAAAGACTCGGAACGTCTAAAAAACTTTTAAATTGAAGAATATACTGCATCTGAAAACACCTATTTTGTATTAAGGCGTTGCAAGTTTAATTACGTTAAGCCTTTTGCACTTCTAAGGTACCAAATTCCATCGATCCGAAGACTGCTTTGGCCCCCCAAAGGGAATGTTAAAGAAGTGCTAATATATAAACACATTGATCAAGCCAAAAAGTTCATCCAAAAGCCTTGAAGTTCATTCTGGCTTTCAAAACTCCTACTATGATTATAATAGCCGGGGGAACAAAGTCTGCCAACGTCTCCCTAAAAGGAGGGCCGGAGTGAAATTGAATATTCACCTAGCTTATCAAATTCATTTTTACTTGAGTAATTCATGACTATGGTTGCCGACCTGGCTGCCGTTGGAATGGTCCAAAATCCTTTACTTCTTTGGTTCAAAATTGAGTCCAATCCAGTATGTAACAGAAGGAATGGGACCTGTTATGGTAAAACCGTGGGTTGGGTTAAGAATCACCATCGCTGCAGATCAGTATTGTGATCGCTTCTCAGTTGGAGGGGAAATCGCGCCACCTATCCCATCACTATACTTACGTGGTCACGTGCTCACTGACTCCTCGAAAGTAGACAGTCTAATTTAAAACCCGAGACACCGTATGCCATCATCCAAAATATTCCGAAAGTAGATTATAGTTACCATCTGCAATGGTTGGTGCACAGGGAGTGTAGGTAACTTCTCCTGCTTGTATGGACCTTCCAAAACCCGCACATTGATCCGATTCCACGCCCTATAAAGAGGTAAACGTAAAGGCAGTAAGCATTGTCAAAACATACTGCTTTCAGATACAGTAAATCAGAAAAAATGTAGTTTTCAATCCAAGTAAATTTATCTGCGTGTTTGAAATGTGGCAAACTCCAAATGGTCTTTCCATCAAGAGGTGTCTTTTTTGAATCCATTTGGGTGAATGGAGTTTATTCTAGGTGGATTGCTTGTTGTAGTTGGAATATACAACTACGTACAGGTAACACTGGTTATGTTGGTTTGATTGGTTTGTGAGAGCCCACTTTAACTGAGGGGTGCTTAGCCATTTCCTAGATCAGCCGCCTCACACGGAAAAAATCGGTCAACTGTGCCTAACTGTCGTGCCTCTAGAAGGAAGCCCAAGGGCTGGGATAACGCCAGGTTGCTTAAGAAAAGTCGAAAGAAGGAGGTCGGGTTCGAAACACGAACCTTTCAGTCAGCAAATTCACTCTCTGAACCACTGAGCCATATCGTCACATGGACAAGTAAGGCTAAGCTAGCAAACTTGCAAGAAATGAAAGGCTAAGACAGTTAACTGTGGGACGCACAATGACTTGCACTTTAGGATTGATCCCTTTGACTGCCACAGCAATTCCAGCCAACAGTCCACCACCACCAACCGGTACGAGAATAGCATCCACAGTGGGGACTTGCTCCATTATTTCCAACGCAACGCTGCCTTGACCAGCCAAAACTTGTGGATGATCGTAGCTGAAATTCAACAATGGAGATGTTTACGTTAAACAAACGGCATTTCATCTAAAGGTGACATATCTGACTGGAGCCAGTATTCCTTATGCAGGGCGCATGCTGACAAGTTGAGGGCCAAAAAGATAGTTGTGGTAAGTCGGACCACGCACAAAAATATCAGAAACTCACAACTTCGGAGTTCAACTATTACGGAAGTAAGCAGGTACCATCACATCTGACGCAGTTTCAGACATATTCGGATGCAATAGACAACAGCAGGACGCAAACTGTGGGTGTGGCAGAACAGATCACAATGACAGAAAAGATAAAGTGTGTTCATGAACTGACGTCATTTATGTATTCGAACATTGAAGATGACTGAATGGTCTATTCAGTATTGGATCTGATCGTACCTGAACAACTGACATAATGCGCCAAGATTGGAAATGAATAAACTGGATGACACCATATCTTGACCTTCCAGGTTAGATTGGCTTTAAGGAGGAAATTTCTACTGTTACAAATGGGTAAGAAACTATAACTTATGAAATGATGTTGAAAAGGCATTTCGGAGAATCCCGTTTTATTGAGATCGGTAGGAGAATAATATGTGACGGGAGGTGTAAATGGGGCATCTTGTGGTGAGATTATTGAACTAGAAGACAGTACTATACTGTTCGTATCCCATCCAGACGAAACGCAACCGCCAAAGCGATATAAGATTTGCCGGATCCAAGACTATCAAAGGACTATCAAAGACTTTGTAAAAGAGTACTGTATCCAACAGTATGATAAATGTCGAAAGAATTAATTAACTCCCTATCATGTCTACCCAAGCTACTTGTGGATGTGAGTAGGCCTACGGATTCTTCTAGATGAGAGAACCTCCTCAATCAAACTAACACCCGACAGCTGCTGTTCTGGTGGAGCTCGTTTTCTATCGATGCTCATCATTTGGCATGACCTTCAAATAGGCTTCCAACAAAGGCTATTATAACGCATATTTCTGCGGAATAATTCAAGGCCTAGAAATATCATTGGGTCTTCAGTCTGCTTGTCAGCAGTTAGTAGCTTGAGATAACGTCAGAAATCATGTCGAAATAAGTTCTATCCCAAGAATTACTCATGGTTTTTAACTATTCTTGTCCAAGTTTGGGGTTTAGACCTGCAGCTGCACCCAGGGAAGACAAAAGGGTCTCTTAAGTGTTATAGAGTTGGTATTGGGGGTTCCTGTGAGTTGCAGGCCACCTTCGGTGGTCAAGTTTGGCGTTGTTTACACCGAAAGAAAACGACTCAGCTGGGCACTAACACGCCAACGAGTCGAATTCAGCTGTTCTCTAATGAGAGCCTTAACGACTTAGTGTGCTTAGCCTGCCTCCACTCTCATTCACCAATTTTTCGACTTTGTTTTTGTGTTTTGCGTGACCGTCAGTGTGGCGGAAATTTTGGAGTAGCAAAATTTATTGCGCAAAACTTCAAACCGGAACTCTCGTTATTCGAATCCAACCCTGGTTCTCAGTTGCTCATGTCTAGACGTGGGGAACCTGGCCATAGTTCTGACCTGTTGATCTAGTTGAGTTGCAAAACATCAATGCACTGAAGTGACGCAGAGCTAAACTATTAACTTTTTGTTTTAATACTCAAACTTTTTACCAGTCTGACGTGAGAGAGCCATTGGATCTGCTTCCACTGTGTTGGTAGTAGTTTCTTTTTTCTCTACTTGACTTTGCACCATACATAAAGTTTGGTTTACGCTAAACGCCAGTTTCACATTTGGTTTACGGATAGACGTCATTTCCAAAAGAAAAACATCAACATACACAGGTCCATGGAATATTTTTGTATCTTGGATGGATCATTTGAACCGAATAATGAAGGACCCAATAGGCTTCCCTCATGCGACCAGTAATGATGAGTAAAATGCTAGAAAATTCGACTTCCGCAGCTACTAACAATTTGAGCAATAAATCAGGATGCCAGAATTTAGTGGACCCCATGCGGCTCCTGTGTTGTTTACACGTGTCCTTTTGTGATTTTTCAGACACCTTGGCTACGGAGATGATGATTCACACACATATAGACACATGAAATGGGGTTTCTGAAACCAGATTACAGTTTTCCCCAAAACTGTTGTATTATTTTTCAGGATCCCGCATTTGTGCAGATAGATATTTGGGATATGTCGTATTCGGCTATAATAACTTAATAAATAATGACACTGGAAATTCAAGGTGCGTTTTCCATAATGCCGTTCTCAGTACTGAGTTTATGGAAACTGCCAAGACGCAAACGTCATATATAGACACAACAGTTCTGTAAATGGCCTGGTATACTTCCCAGTTCACTAAGCTCTTCTTAAGTGTCAAAGACTTCATGCAGCGTCAAAAAGCAGCGGTATTACACGCGACATAGGAATTCACAATAAGGGATGCTAAAGGAAAAATCCTCACGCTAACATAGACGCCTTATAAAAACTTCCTATGTTAAGGACAGTGAGACTACCAGCGTGAAAGATCAAGTCCTGTGTGAACTATGAATTCCTATGCTACTTGCTTCCCTAGTTGATGAGACAGCTACTATAGGTTCATGTGTCCAGTTGCTTGCCCTCGTGAGATGCACTCACTCTGACGACACATAAGAGGAAATAATCTTTTTCAGTCCACTGGAAACTAGAACAAAGATGTTCTGAAGAAAGAATGGTTTGTACACGATGTATTACAAAGGGCAACGTCCGTTGGGTTTGAGCAGGTTTGGTACCCACTATATTGTGATTGAAATCAGTCGGAAGTAATGGTACCTATTCCTCAGACCTATTCTTCCAACTCACCTGCAACAGACACTTGACCCATCCAATGAAATTATAAATTACATCGAAACTGAGTTCCTACAGAACTGTCTAAATAAGTGGGTAAACAGCTTTTTAAGAGAATATATATAAACTCAGGTATCGAGGTTGCGCAAGCAGCATAAAACAGCGCTGATCAGAACACGTCCGAAAGACTGAATGCAACTTTGAACAATTCGAATGGCTGATTGACACCTATTTTCGAAATTACACGAAGAAAAATGGTTCCATGCATTCCGGTTCAAGAAATAGCAGGTCGCGTTCCTTCTGACAAGTCAATGAGAATTCGAAACACTGATGAATACCATAGATTGAAGAAATGATATGAAATGATGACGCGCATATTTTTCAATGTCGATCGAAACAGCATTTTTCCACAGCACAATGAACACAAGCACGAACAGATGATGTAATTACAGTTATAAACATTCAACCAAAGACTTCCGACAGCTGCGTGAACATCTCACAGTCAACCAACCCGGAATTAACCACATGCACTTAACATATGCATCCGGTCTATCAATAGTTTGACAAACTATCAAATTATCACCAACTTTTGTTCATCAAACAAGCTACTGCAAACACCTGACCACGAAAATACTTATACATTTAAGCTATGGCCGAAATTTCTACGGTAATACGAAACATGAAATAACAGCAATAAAGCCAGACAGGCGGCGATTTACTATCCACATTAAAATAAACTCTTTGGTTTTTTGCACCCCATCTCGTTATAGTAAAATGGTAGTTTTTCAGAGATGAGAAAAATGATAAACAAAAGGAAGACGTTGGCTCCATATAAGGTATTTGAAAAGTCTTCACGAGTTAGGTGATTGATGTCCAGGATACTTCAAGCGTTCGGCATAACGTCATGCAGAACGAAGGCAAATATTGATCGAAAACTATCGATTTGTGCACTATTACAATGTTTGTAAACGTAGTGAATGAAAACTCATTTGCTTGGTATCGTCCACAATTAGTTGTTTTACGTCAGCATCATAGCTAGTGGTCTGTAATTTTGGAAACTGTGGATGTCCGATTCCATCGGTTATGTGCGAATGAACTGTGTTCGACTCACCGGGAGCCTACATTTTAGTGAAGAACAGGTGTGCGCCTCAACTCAATCTTATTAAATTTCCCATTTGTGAACTCTGTCGCAAATCGTTTGACTACATAAATAGGTGAACTCAGAAGCAATGGTATCCACATTGTAGCTTTGAGTAAGACAGGACAGGAGCAAGGAAAACTGCTTGAAACTGAATTAAATACACCTTCTTTGTGACAAAGGTCCTAAAGGACAGTCAGTAGCCACTTGGAGTTAGAGTTTCCGTATCCAGAAATTCGCTCGTAAGAATCGTCAGTGAACCATAGTGCATCAATCTGGGTGTGGTTACTATTCGAATTCAACTCCCAAGGCGTTTTTTTTTGGGCTCCAGCAGTGTTTGTTTCTGAGAAACAGCGAGTACTACACCAAGCTGTTAGAATCCGCTCAATCAATACTAACTATAGTCAGCTATTGCAAAGCCCCCAAATCGGTATTTATTGTATCTACTCACAAATTGCCCTGCTGAACTATGGTGCCAAAGTGATTTTAGGGGATCAGGTCCCTACTACGCTGTTTCTTTTGTGCAAAAATGTTTGGAGACCGTTGTGTGAAACTATCGTGGTAGCGTCCTAGCATACCAGTTCCGTATTAGTATTGCGATGCCAGGAGTCTCATAAGACTGAATAACGGAAGCTCTTGTTCCACAAAAGGTTGCTATGATCAAATATTTACCCTACGCTGTGCTTTAAGACACTAATACAAGTCCCGACAACCAGCCACCACTCGCTTTACTGACATTCGTGCAGCCCAATTCGTACTAAAATACGACTAAAATACGACTGAGATCTAATCTGTCCCTCGGAATATTCTGGCAAACGATCCACATTTCTTCAAGAAAATGTTGCCACAGAATAAAAGGATACAATTACCCCTTCCTGATAAGAAATATCAATGCTCGCATTGGTTGACGTTTACAAACTCCAAAGATCTCGGGTGCCTTTGGAGATGGATCACTGAAAAAATAGAGAATGGGTTTGGCTGTATGTAGTTCTAAAATTGTCCACTACTAGCGCGTTTTAATCTTAGACAGTAGGTTAATACCTACATAGGCTCACAATGTAAGTAAAGATG